AATATTCTTATGTCTTGTTATATCCATATCTTTCTCACAGTGAAATCAATGTATTAATTAAGAGGCACTCTGCGGCTCTTTTAATGCCCACCCGGTTTATTGCCTGAACTAATATAAAGCCACTATGTACTCTCTATTGCAGGTGCTGTCATCCTTAGAATGAATACAAATAATAATATCTTATAGTGATTTATTATTATCCATAAGATATATTTCTAATTTCAACAAATGCACATGTGCATGCAGTCATGCGCGCGCGCGCGCACACCCACACCCACATATATTTCTTATGTCAATGTATACCGATAAGGCTCTCAAAATAGTTAAATAATACTGTATAAAACTAAAAGAAAAAGGGTTAAAATAGCTCGTAACTTATTTCCTGAAAGCAGACAAGCACTAATTGCGACTTCTGAAAGGGTATACCCAATTATTTGAGAGCAAGATAGCAGAATCCCTATTTTAATATCAGTGCTGATTTCTACATGTTGCACATATGGTGTAATAGGTCAGGGGCCCTCAACCTATTGGGCACCAGGGACCAGTTCTACGGAGAGAGGTTTTTCTATGGATCGGAGGGGGCGAGGTTTCACATGCTGTCTGCATCCTGCAGATGGGGCTTCACTTGTTTGTGCAGTCCAGACTGGCATGCAGACTGGTGCTGGTCCACGGTTGGAGATCCCTGTAATAGACATTAGAGAACAGTATCTGTCCAATAAGTTTTGAAAATGCAATATTTGAAAAAACAATTGACTAGCCAAAAAAAAAAAATTAAATCCTAAGAAAATTCTAGTAAGCTATGTTGTTACTGAGACAGCTTACTTAATTAGTATTTAGCTGATTTATTTAATAATATTTAGTCCTCTATTTTTAAATCCATACAAGACCATTTTAAGGGTTTATTTTTTTTTAGCTAAACGCTGAATGGTATATTGTTGACCACCATGCTTTCTTTCCTGATTGCTGTAACTTCCTATGTACTTTGAAGCTTATGTTTTATTCTGCTGAAATTCTCCCATTAACAGCAACATAACCAAGACTTTGCTTGAGGCCACTTCTAAATGGTGTTTTACTTTTTGAGTTTGATGGAAGGCGGGCTGGGCACTTAGTCTTGTTATAATTAGGTTTTCTAAATCTCATTTCCTTTTTAGAGGAGAGAAAACATATTGTTGTGAGTAAGGTCCGGACGTGGTAACGAGTCCCTGGCAGGTTAGTTTGTGCTAGGAAAGACCTTATTTTAAAGGAAACGTTTACCTTCTCTTCTCATCATGGATTTTATTGCAATTACAGCAATTAGAAAGAAACTAATGCCAAAGGTAACACATACACACTCACACACACACATACAGTTTTAATGAGTTAGTTAACACAAACCTCCTGGAAAGGAGATATAAATTCATTTGTTGCACATTTCTAAACCATACCTAATGGATTATTGAAGGGCAAATGGATATAATGTTTGTTCCAATTTTATTTCACTGCACACTCACAGATTGGTAAAGCCAAGTTAAAATAGCCATGATTGCTGACCAAGATATTGTCAGTTACTGCTAATCTGAAGCAGATGGTATAGGACATGCCACTTCCTAGATTACTTACCTATACAGGAAGCCTAGGAGTTTGTTACTGTATAAAACCCCTTTACTCTCATAGTCTTAATGTTTGTGGGCATTTCCTTTCAACTCAGCCAACCACAATGATTCATTTCCAAGGAAGGCGACTCATTAAAATCAACGAATATTTAATTTTATTTAAAGGCTGCTAGTAATTTAAGTCCAGCCAAATTATTTAAAGTCCAGCCAAATAAAACCAGTCATTCCCAAAAGGGTTTTATTACATAAAAAATAGGAAGTTGCCAGAGGATCAAATCCCCAAGAACTCATTCTCTGATCATTGCATGATCAATGTTTTCTATGCTTCCTTCCAGACAGGAGTCTGGCAATGGCCCATTTAGCTGTGAAAGAACAAGCATGACAGTCCCACCATGCTAAGTTTCAAAATTATAATCCTTACAAAAATGATACCATGTTGTCCAAAGGAATGAGGTATGGAATGTAAAATGGAACACCTCCCACTCTTTCACCTGTAAAGATGACATGGAACAAACCCGATTGCTTCTGTTATTAAGTTTAATTTAATAATAAACAAATTTCTCATCCATCACAGGTTTTATCCATGCAGACCTTGCTTCCCAGAATCTCTATTATATAGTTGATTAAACTGATACATGCAATTATATATATCATTCACTAAAATGTTGGGGATTTCTATCTGGCTAAAGAACCTATTTGTAACAAATTCTTTGAAGAATTCTTCAGAAGACGCTGAGATGAATGGCAAAATAACAAGAGTTGGAAGTGACCTTGGAGGTCTTCTAGTCCAGTGGTCACCAACCAGTGGGCTGGGGACCACTTGTGGTCCACAAGAAAATTTTGTTGGTCCGCAGAGAAATGTCACTCCCAAAGCATCCCCCCCAAAAGCAATTAATCCGGCTGTGTGGGAACACAAGGCTGCACCACCCACATGGCTTGCGGGAACACAAGGCTTGCATCACTTGCACTGCGAACAACACGAGGTAGTGAGGGGAGAGGGGAAAGGGCGGAAGGGGGGAACTTGCCCCAGTCGCCCCACATTCCTGGCCATGCCATTGGGCTGCTTCTTTCTGCTTCTTTCTTCTTCTGCTTTTGGCTGCACGCAAGGAAAGCAGCAAAAGTCTTTCTTTCTCTCCCCCAAACTCTGCCAGAAATGAGTCTTTGGGACCCTGCAAGGCCTCCTGCTCCAAGAGGTTGTGCCAAAGCGGTGCGACAAAGACTCACAAAGACTCGTTTCTGATGGAGTTTGGGGGAGAGAAAGAAAGACTTCTGCCACTTCTGCTACTTTCCTTGCATGAAGCCAAAAGTCTCTCTCTCTCCCCCCCCCCCACCCGAGAACAGAGCTGGAGACAGTATCCTGTGATCCCAAATAAAGAATGATTGATCGGTAGGAAAACGGGGTGGGGAATTGTCTTGCATACTTTTTTTAGGGGGGGGTGGGATTTTCCCAGGGTCTCTGGTCCGTGGGATTTAAAATTACGAGTTTGGTGGTCCCTGAGGTCCAAAAGATTGGCAACCCCTGTTCTAGTCCAACCCGCTGCTCAAGCAGGAGAACCTTTACCATTCCAGACAAATGGCTGTCCAATCACTTCTTAAAAACCTCCAGTGATGGACCATCCACAACTTTTGGAGGGAAGCCGTTCCAATAATTAATTGTTTTCACTGACACGAAACTTCTCCCAAGTTCCCAGTTAGATTTCTTCTTGATAAATTTCCATCTGTTATTTTTTTTTGAAAAAGATGCAAAATAGTCACAACTGCTTTATACAATGGGGTGGGAATAGGATTTCCCAATTTTTTCTGGTCTTTTCTTTTGAAGGTTACAGTTAAGCATTATTTTAAGGCTTACCACTCAATTATCATCTCTTTCAACTTCAAAATAGTGGGAACAGCAACATATATTTTCAGGAACTGCACCTCTGAAATATAGCAGAGGAGGAATTGGCTCTAAAGTTATAAAAAAGGGGGCAAAAAGGTTTAAGATTTTAAAACAGAATGGGACAACAAGCACTATTTAGGAAACATGGAATACATCTATAAAAACACCTCTGGAGATGTTTGCTTTTGTAAATTTTCTGAGTTGCATTTCTGATTAATTTCCTGTCAATGATGGAAGGCTCTGATTCAGAAGGTATTTTTAATCAGCAGAATTGAGAAAGAGATGCTTTTCAGCATTTCCCTCCTACTTTTTCTCAAACCTTGCTCCCTCTTAACTTATCCTATAAGGACAGGGAGCCTTGGCAGCAATATAACAATAAGCAATAAGCACAGGGAACTGTTGGAGAATAAACTTCCAATTTAGCCCACAGCAATGATGTATGTATGTATGTATGTATGTATGTATATATGTATGGTATTTAGGTTTCTTCGGGTGTTTTCCCACATCTTAATAGTTGTGCTTTTAAAGTTATAGTGACGTTTCGGCAGAATCTCATCTGCCATCCTCAGGCTTCTGTATATCTCAATACAGAAGCCTGA